GGAGGGAGGGGGGGCGGTAAGTGATGTAAACATGCACAACAGCTGCTTTTCAAATGCAGCCATGTATGTGTGTGTGTGTGTGTGTGTGTGTGTGTGTGTGTGTGTGTGTGTGTGTGTACCCATGGCGACTCCAGAGAAGTGGATGAGCGTGTCCTCTCCGATCATCACTTCCTCGATCAGCTTGCAGTGACCGAGCTTCACCAGCTCCGGGTGTTCGAAGGTGGAGGTGATCTCCCCGCCTACACACACACACACACAGTTAAATAATACGTTTGTGATATAACACATCGTGACTGATTCAGGCAGAAAATACTGAACACGATCTCTCCGGCCACTAGGTGGTGTCATAACATTTATTATTATTGATGAAAAGGAGCCACAGACTGAACTTCAAATAAAATCAGAATAAAACTAAACCACAAATGAAATATTTTTTACCAGTGACCAAAGCGAGACGCTCCACACCGGCGAAGTCAGCGTGCTCGATGGCCATGATGCCGGCGCGAGCAAACAGCTGCTCTGGGTAGTTATAGATCAACTGCCTGCAGAGAGAATCAGGATTTAGTCACAACACAAGACGGTGAAGTCAGCAGTGACGCCCCCTGGTGGATGAGAGTAACTGCTTTCATTTCTCTCCATCCTTTTCCCTGTCATCATATCTATCACTAATCGTCCGTCCAGGGGAACAGCTAATGATTATGTTTGTTATTATTTAATCTGCCAATTATTTTAACACAATTAAAATTCGATAAAACAAATAAAACCCTGAAAATGATTTCCCACAATTGAGCAGTTTTTGCTTTAAAAGTAAATAATCTGGGTAATTCTGGATCCTCGTTGCTCTGTGAAACGTTTTCGAACCTGTTGATGAAACAGTTGATTCCGTGTTTCAGAATCCTGTCGACCTTCTCCTTCATCTTCTCTTTCTCTGCGAGTTCGATTTCTGCAACCTTCGCTATCGAGTCCACGCGAACCCTGGAGCCAAAGACCTGAGACACACACACACACGCGTCAATATTCTGTTAGCGTGCGTCGTTTACGATCCATGACGCTGATTTTCTAGCTGACACATGTTAAAAACAAGCTTTATTTAGTTTCAGTGTGACGCCCGTCAATTGGAACGGGTTTGAAATCTTGAGAAAGTCTTAGTCTCAGTCTGGAACGGGAGACGAAGGTTCACCACGAATCTGTGACCGTGCCATCAGTCGCTGAGGAAGCATCGTACCTTGATCTTATCGGTGTCCATGCCGGTGTTGGCGATCAGGATGTTGACGTTCTCCAGCCTCTTTGGTTGGTTCACTCCGATCTTCTTGTCCAACAGGAAACCTGGACATAGCACAGTTAAATGTGACGTTACAGCGACCAATCGGAGAGCAGATCAGGGTTGGGATTGTTGACAAGTGTCACGCGCCCTCACCTTCATCCAGGTACGAGTCGGTGAGGCTGCCTCCCAGCTTCTTGATGACGTGGATTGCCTCCAGGTTCCCGGAGCCTTTCAGCCTCATGACAGCGGCGACGGCGAGCTGGGAGAAGTGGTCTTTGTGGTGAGTCAGCAGTTTGGAGGACAGAGTGGTGCGGGCGATGTTCAGCAGGTCCTCCTGGAAACGAGCCGGGTCGTTGCTACAGAAGAGGATGACGAGGCAGAGAAAAGATTAAAAACATGAACCGAGGGTTTGAGCTGTCGACACATTTCACCCGTCTCACCTGTGGTCGACGGCGGCATCTCTCAGAGCCTCTCTGGCTACCTGAGTCGCCTTCCTCCAGCCGGCGATGATGGTCTGTGGGTGAATCTTCTTGGCGATCAGGATCTCCGCCTCCTGTGAAAGATCAGTGGCGGTTAAAGAGCGACTACTTTCCTCTCAGCAGAAAGAGTGACTCTTTAAATCTTCATTGTTTATTTTCAGATGCAGAATCAACGTGAGAGCGACAGGTCGTTACCCTCAGCAGCTCCGCAGCCAGCACGGTGACGGACGTTGTTCCGTCTCCGACTTCATCGTCCTGAACCTTCGACATGTCTGCAGACACAAACAGAAAAAAAACTCCATTATCTTTCTGTTCTTTATTGACTTTTACTGTTTCATACAAATAATAAAATGTTCAACGACCGGTTTGTTCATCCGAAGTATCACGTGTTTTGTATTTAATGTATTTCTCTCTTTGTGATTTTACTCTACATCACCGGTCAACTCTGGTTTATTTAATCTATATTTCTGCCAGTATTAGTAATTTGCATCTTCACTCACCAACCAGAACTTTGGCCGCAGGGTTGTCGACTCCGATGGCTTTCAGGATCGTCGCTCCGTCATTGGTCACCGTCACTGCGGAGCCTTTCCCTCCGCTCATCAAAATCTTATCCTGAGAAAACAAAACGTTTGAATCTCAGATTGTTTCTGATTTTTACCTTTTAAACAAAAGGAGGTTTCAATGATCTGAAAAGAAAAACTAGAACCTGTAAAATCAAAATGTCACTTGTTAAGATTTGAAATTACCCACCATTCCCTTCGGACCCAGAGTGCTCTTCACCAGATCTCCGATGGAGATGGCACCGACGAAAGACGACTGAGGAGAAAAAACAGAAACAGTTTCATCTCAAAATTATTTTACTAATTCAAGGAGTTTGAAGCGAAATTAAAACCACACGCACCAGTCGAGCAGTCTCAGCTTTCTCTTCATCAGCTCCATGGCTGAAGATGTTGACCGGGGCCATCGATAAGGACGCCTGCAGAGAGGGAGGGAGAGAGAGGGAGGGAGGGAGAGAGAGGGAGGGAGGGGGAGAGACACACTAATCAATCAACTAATCCATCAATCAGTTAAACTAATGAAAGATGTGTTAAACATATGCACGCGACAATTTATTTGATGAGCAAAGAACCAGCTTCAGTGCAACAAATCCATTTTAACAGAACACGCTGAGCAGCTTCTCTTGAAAATGAAGCTACAACATGAAAACTCTTCTTTCCGAGCAGCTTTGAAAGCAGCTTCGGTCGAGCCCCGCCCCTGTCATCCTGGAAACCACGAGAACATTTTTAACTCAAATTTACGAATTTAAGTTAAATCGTTAAAAAAAAACCATCAACAGATAAAGTTCGATGATCGCGAGAGGTTTTAAAATTCACTTTGGATAAAACGATCGGACTTTTTATTCACTGAACGTCGGAGGTTTGATTTCCTCTGTGTCACAAAGCCCCGGCGACAAGCTAACCTAGCATGCTAACAGTTAGCTAAGAAGAAAAGAGAACGAGCGAGAACGAGAAACAAACTGAGACGAGAAACGTTTTCAAACGTCACGGCTCAGAGTTAGTTCCGGGAGAAACCCCGCAGCTGCGTGGATTCTGTGCGGGATTTCTCTCAACTGCTGCGTTTGCCCGGTTAGCTTAGCTAGCTTAGCCGCCAGCGCATTCATGACGCCCATGTGCTTCCTCGCCGGTGCAGCGGCGCTAGCCGGGGAGCTAACGGGACGAGCCTCGGCATGAGTTTGACGGAGACGACGCGAGCTGGAGTTCGACCCGAGAAGAAGAGTTTCGCTGCGAGTGAACGTTGTTGGATTAAAGTCGCTGCGGAGGAAGCGTCAGACTCACCATGATGCACGAGCTGCAGAGGAGGAGGGCCGGGCACGAGCGTGACGTAGTGACGTACTGACGCGACGCTGCGTTCACAGCGGATCATGGAAAACACAGCACTGCCGCGTTCTCCTTAAAAAGACCCACTCACTGCTCCCCACATAGTGACTTCGATATAAAGAGAGAGAGATATATCGCGAGTCTATCTGGTGAACTTCGTAGTGAGCTCATTGGAAAACGAAAAACACGCTCTCAGACACCGATCAGCACATTTTCTCTGCAGCATCACCGTCGGCAAACAACACCAGCTGCTGAGAAAGTCCTACAGTGGAGTTAAAGTTTATTTCACTCTTAGTATTAAAACTTTAAGGTCATAAAAACATGTTGGCTCCAGGCTGAGCTCCGGAGCTGCTCAGTTCTGATGAGATCAACTCAGAGAAATTCAGCCATGAGGTCGACAAGAGAACACGTGAGAGCATGAAGACAGAACACAAGAGAAAATCAAATGGAAATAAACTTGAGTAATGTTCAGAAATCTTCCCATGATTCCTCAGTGACTGAAGTGATTCAGCTCATGCAGCAGTTAAATGAACATGTTTCAGTGGATTCAGCAGCTTCAGGCCTCCACTGGTTTATTAAACTGTTCCCTCTGCAGCCACATGGGGGCGTGGAATCCAACCCCTGCACCAAAGTCATACAGCAGCAAATGATGGTGGATGAGGGAGGAAACCAAATTTATTTTTCAGGGAAATTTTTAAAAAACCAGTAAAAACTAAAATATTTCATCATCCGCCATCATGTCCTCTTGTTCAGGCCCCGCCTCCTGCCTCTGTGACGGGCGGCCTGGACGGGCAGACAGTACATGTGCATGGGAAACGTCCTGAAGTAGCTGCTGACCCAGGGTCTGTGGGAGGTGACGACAGGAAACACAAAGACACCGTCAACGAATCTGATGATGACATCACTAACTGCTCAGCCACTGTCATGTTGTGATGGCCCCCCCCC